CTCGGCCACCAAACGCACACATCAATGACCCTCACAAACCGCCCTTCACTCAACCTTTGAGTGCCCCAGCACTCAGCCCACGAACCCTGGCACTCGCCCCACAACCTCACTCTCTCGACAACAGAATATCTGTCCACCGTTCAGGAGACCGTTACAAGCACGGGGCCGACGAGCACTTCGCCTTCGGGACCCACTCTGGCACCGCAGCGAGGCAGGTTCTGCGTGCGCTCAGTGGTGCCTTTGAGATGGCGCCCGCCGGAAGTCAACATGGGGCCGCGAAGGTGAGCACGGGGCCGCGGCGCAGGCGCAGAGGGACGGCGGCCGCGCCGGTGACGTCGACGCTCCTGGGCGAGATGGCCGCGCCTTCCCCGTCTCCTCCCCTCCAGGACGGCCGCGCAGAGCAGGCGTTTAGTTTGTTCTGCGGAGGCCGGCAGTCCTAAGACGTCAGACCCCAGTCTTCTCAGGGCGCGGAGGGGACTATCCAATTAAGGAAGAGTTTGTAGCCGGCAAGGATTTCGTGTCTTGAACTTGGAGAGCGTCGACGGGCTTGCAGATGTAATTGAATGGGTAGACAGGATGCGTAGCGGAATTGCTCTGCGTGCACGAAGACTGGGAGGTAGGGAAAACCGCCGGCTCCAGCCGGCGGCCAGGCTGACAGTATATTCTAGCGCTTGAAGGACAGTAGGTCGGTATACAGACAAACAGGAAGCTGAAAAATAAATGAACGGCGATATGGGACACACACAGATACCCTGGGAGTGAAGGGGATGTATTAAGTAGGGGCTGACAGGTTGCTTTCCCTGGGTGGGCAGAGATAGCGTCACTGCTGGGAGTGTAGGCGGTGTGGGCGGGGGCCAGGTGATGGAGGGCCTCTGGCCAGGGACAGAGTTCATGTTTCATTGTGGACATGACGGGAAGCCATCGGAGGGATCATACTTTTTGAAGACCAGTCTGAAGCAATCTGGCATTACATATCCATGTTAAAAATGCACGTAGATTTGACTCATTTGTTTACTGCCTGTCTTGCCCTACTAGAATATGACCCCCACAGGAATTTGTTAAGCACCTCCTCCCTGCCGGGTAGTGTTCTAGACATTGGCGATATAGCAGGGAAGAAAACAGAGCCCCCCAAATAAACAAACATGATGGAGACAGCCTGGGTTCAAACCCCCNTCTGTTAAGTTTCCTTATCGATAAAATGGGGATAACGACAGTGCCTACCTCGTTAAGGTTCGCTGACACATGAGTTGGTAACTGTATAGGACTGAGAACTATGCCTAGAGTGTAGGAAGGTCTATGTAAGATTTTTTTCGTATTATTATTTACACAAAATTAGATTGTGTGTGTGTGTGAAAAAATGTACATGTATGTATGTGTGTGTGTATATGTAAATATAAAGATTTTAATAAGGAGAAAAAAATTTAAAATGACCTGCAGGCTGCTTTGTGGAGAACAGATTGCAGAGGGCAAGGGCAGGAACAGAGAGACCATTCAGAGAGACCAGTGAGGAGGCTCCTGCTAGCAGACACAGCAAGTGACATAACTCAATATTTCCTCTGTGTCGGGCACCGTTTGAAGCACATGACATGACCTGCCTCAGATAGTCTCCACAACAGTCCTATGTCCTCCACTTGTCAGATGAGGAAACTGAGTCCCAGAGAGATTAACTAACTTGCTCAAGGTCACACAGGTTCCTAAAGTCAGATCCATAGCTTCCAT